AATTAAATGTCTAAATTGCCATAAAAGGCAAGGGTGGAATGATATAGGAATGATTATTTTGATGCTTTTATGTCAATTTATACTTATATTACACTCATTTACATGTAGTTTGGAAACACACTTATACAACGTGTTATTCACATATTAGGGATTGTACTTTGTTTAACATGTCACAAAGACAAAGGGGGGAATGATTTATGTTGCCTTTGTTAATATTTGGGACATTCTTTGATGGTTTGCAGAGGGATGGAGGGGTGCGTATTTCCTCTTTAGGAAAAGTTTAAGGAGTATTTCTGGCTTCAAGGTCTTGGCCCGCCTTGACGTCACACTGCTCCTTATTTGTAATAAATCACCAGCTCCTCATCCGTTGTTCTGGTAACCATCAAACTTGTTTTTCACTGCTCTCACGCGATCCGGTCAGGGAAGAAGGTATAAGAGGAAGTGTGACAGGCAACTTAATTTTTAGAAGTCTTGTGTGGACCAGCGCGCGGTGCCATGCAGTTGTGATTGAGTTCTGGTTCATCCCAAAGATCCAGTCCCCCGGCACAAACAGAGCAATGTTGTGTATGCTGTTCAGTGTCAGGAGGGCTGTGATCACTCTTACATCGGGGAAACAAAACAGCCACTGGCCAAAAGGATGGCCCAGCACAGAAGATCAACATCATCAGGCCAGGACTCTGCGGTCTACACTCATCTCCAGGCCAGCGGTCACTCTTTCAGGGATGAAGATGTTCACATCCTGGACAGAGAGGAACGATGGTTTGAGAGAGGAGTAAAGGAGGCCATCTTTGTAAAAAGAAATCGTCCATCATTAAACAGGGGTGGAGGCCTACGTGTTCAACTGTCCCCCTCTTACAATGCTGTGATTGCTAGTATCACTCAGCCCTCTGTGAACAGTAAAGAGCCATCAGTGTGCTAATGATCCATTGTTATGCTGATGGTCCTTCTAGAGCATGTGATCAGCTGGTTTTGGTTGTCAGCAGCAAAACTGGTTGATCCACCCTGAGACGGTGCTATTTAAGAGACTGAGCTGAATACAGCTCCTCAGACTGAGGAAGTCTCTCGGATGAGAGACGAAACGTTTCTACATTTTTTGTTGATTTGCTTTGTTTTGTTTTTTTGAATGTCCAGAGGACCAGATTTAACTTTTTTAGATTTTTCTACCTGGATTATTGAGCATGCATCAGGATATAATCACTTCATGCAAAAAGTGTCAACAATTAACTTTTATTTATTAAAAAGAAATCTCATCAGTTTTTTTCAAACTGAGATGTTAACTTTTTCCACAGAACCCCTCTTGAAAAGAGCTGAACTTTCACTTTAAATGTGAAACATCTGCAAAACAAGATGGTGAAATTCTTTTTATCTCAGATATTCTTGGGTACTTCAAGTTGTTTTTAGATGCTGTCAAAACTATAGCTGCAGGTAAACCATTTATAAACAACATATGTTGCACTTCCTTCAAAGCAACCAGCTTAACACATCCAAACAACATATTTATTTCTAGACATTTCAAATCCACCCTTTTCCCCTTAAACCATCTTGACTTTAGGCATTTTAATACATCCTTAGTGGCCCAAAATGTCAATGCTTGGGCCTTTAATGGCAACATCAGATATCTTAATTTCTCCTTTGACCTTTGGCATTTTAAAATCAATATCACCTTCAAGTTTTGGGGCTTTTTAATTTAACGTCAAAATCTGGGCTCTCTAATTCTGGACCTTTGATGTTCAATGTTTGACAATATCTGCTTTTCAGAGTGTTGATGTCAACATTTGGACCCTACTTTTGCCCCTTTAATCCAAATAATTGCTTCCAGCCCTCAGCTCTTCTGCTGACACATCATCCATCTCAGCTGCATGCACTCCTGCCTGTATTAATGCCCTCCAGAAAGCAGAACGAGTAAGTTCCTGCATGTTTTTCCGGCCGTCCCTTCTCGGCCCACGACCCATGGGTTGGCTAAATGATTTTTTCACAGTTTTCAGCTCTGTGTTCCTCTCTGTGCTCCAATCTCCGAGTGCACCCAGTTCCAACACTCTGAATCTACAACCCAACGCACAGCGAGCGCAGTCCTTAGCCCATCTCTGCTCGCACTCCCCTACGGTCACCCAATGACCCTGTAAATCAGACCAATCCGATGCTATCTGTCGGGCTGTTTCTACACAAACTTCAAACAACGGTCTCAAGTCTTGCAAAGCTCTGACTCGATGCGCTGAATTCATTACCTGACCTCCACCTTTATCCAACAGCCTCGATACTCGAGCATCTGTGGGTTGTGATATTTTAGACAAGTAAACAACCTCTTTGTCTCCCGAGATGCTACCGTCCAAACTCGACGGATTCCATCCGTCATCCAACCTTGCAACATAAGCTCCGACTCGCTCCGGCGAAACATCATGCTCTTTCTTCCTCCTTTTAAGCCTGCATATCTGACTGACCGCGCCCTCAGCTACTTTAATCATGCGGTCTAGCTGTGCCGTCAGCAGCTGCACATGCTGTTTCTGCAGCTTGCACTCTGTCTGCGCATCAGATAACAACTGTTTTTGTTGTAAAAACTGTTTCTCTTTCTCCTGAACTTCCTCCACACACCTTTTCCATACAGTCGCTTTCTTTCTCTTGAATTTTCCTCGCAACCGGGACACCTGCTCCACCGCCCCGTCAGCTACCCTGCTCATTCTCCCAAACTGAGCGAGCGACTGAATGTGCCGTCCATTCAACAAGCAGGCGGTCCTCACATTCTTGTTTGCTCCATTGAGCCTGTGATTGCATTTTCTGACTTTATGCTGAAGTCCTGTCACTGGTGCCATCTTTTCTGACCTCTATTGCCTGCAAAAGTGGTCAAAACATCACTCGGACTATCTGCTTTCAGAAAAATTGTTCTAACAACTAAGATGGGCTTCTTCCCACCTCTTCAAAAACAACAAAAACAACTGGGATGGGACTTCTTCCCATCCCGGTACAACTTTTTCTCTGTTCCCCTCACGCCTCCTCAGGCGTCTGGATCAACTTTTCCCTCCGTTCAGCTCACGCCTCCTCAGGCGTCTGGATCAACTTTTTCTCTGTTTTAAACTCTCACACAAAGGCTCGGGGCGTCCCCCTCCACCTCTTAAACACAAAGCCAAGGTTGGATAACTCTCCCAACCCAGCACAACTTCAACGGACTCTTTGTCCAGATGCAACTCGCATCAACATTTTCTCAGCACTTTTTTCCCTTCGTTTGAATATGGTGCAGCCGTTCAGAATTATTTATTTAATTATTAACATCCCATCCTCGTCGCCAAAAATGTATTATGAAATTCTTTATCAAAGGGTTCGTGAGCGATCGGCACCAGATATTCAGACAAGAGGAAAATGAAACACAAGGGACTGTAACTTGCTAGAATAATATTGTCATTTATTAATCTGCCACAAGAAAACAGCCAAGCAAAGTCATGTACACTTTGTACACTCTTAACACACAAATTGATATGAGTATCTCTCACCGTGACAAGTGATCGGGAAGCCTTTCGATCCAATGACAGAACTCACATCACAACTGCATGGCACCGCGCGCTGGTCCACACAAGACTTCAACTTTGTCACAGTATTTGTGCTCCTTAAATACCCCTTCCCGACCGGATCGCGTGAGAGCAGTGAAAAACAAGTTTGATGGTTGCCAGGAGGACAGATTTAATTAAATCTGTTTTTCCATCATCAAAGCAGTCTGTGCAACAGAGCGATGGCTTCATAAAAACATGTCCTTCAAAATCTGGGTCACCGTAACCTTAAGATTGGGCCAGGTCTTCTGGTTAGAGCATCCCCCAGAGAACTTTAATTACTCCAAAACACATCTGCAGCACAGGCCTGACTTTAAGCAGATAAGCTGCATCAAAAGTGAGTATAAGTATTAATTGACATAAAAGCATCAAAATAATCATTCCTATATCACTCACCATTTCAGTCATGACATCAACAGAGGAGGAAGAGATCACTGTCTATTGGGAAAACAAAAAACAAAAGAAAAGGCCAGATCAGGGATGAAGAAGGGAATTTAATACATTGGTGTCGCATACAAAACAGTCCGTCGCCGGGCAGTTTATTGTGCGACACCGTGTATGCGTTCGTAAAAATTGAGCTTTGCACGGACATGCCCTGGGGGGTACGCTCGTACCGCTGCGTACGTACGTGCGTGCGTACCTCCGCGTATGGACGTACGCGGGAGTATACTGGGGGCTTAAGAGTTAATCAGGCCTGACTGATTAGTTTTGGAAAAGCTGCACCTGCACACGTGTCTCTTCTGAGGTCACCCTCTCAGGCCTAAACAGTTTGTTTACACCTTCTTATAAAACACAATTTACACACTAATTACAAGTGTTTCTTGAATTATGAAATCTTTGAAAATGTGAAAAATGAATGTTGATGATTTTTGTGTTGAATTGATCCAATTGTCCCAAGTTTAACACATTTTACCTTCTGGACCATCTTCTCAGGTGACTCTTGTGGTGTGACATCTTTCCATAGGCTCATCAGGAACATTGTGCCTGCACGGCACGTCTCCAGGAGATGCCTGCCCCAGTCCAGCTGTACCACAGTAAGGCTCCCCTCCTCGTCTTATGTGATAGTAAGAGAAGCTATATCAGGTCTGGTTATGTTTCAAGCCGATGCAAATTAAGCAGCCTTTTTTTAAGCTTGTTCATTCATCCAATTAATCTGAGAATCTGGCAGAATTGTTAACCTCCTCCTCATCTAAATTCTAAGGTGAACTATTTCTCAAAATAGTCTGAATTTATATGCACCTGTAAATCCTAAACATAAATTCTTATCTCAAAACATCCTGTTCAAAAGATTATTTTGTTTTATCTAAATCTAAGACAAAAATCTTCTTTTTTCTCATGAATGTGTTATTTCTTGCTTCATATTGTTATTTCTAGTTAAACACCGGTTAACGAATATAACCACTGTATTCGGTATCTATCTAGCTATCTTGGCCTCAGCGGCTTGCCGTCCTCTCAGACTCCTCCCACTCGAGTTAAAACACACGTCACAGCTTTTGCTCGTTCTTCTTCCACGTCGTGTCTGTGCTCTGTAGTGTGTCTCACCGAGTCCTTCCTTGGCAAATGTGAGTTAATGCATTTGTTCTTTAGGTTGTTGGAGCGGTTTGTGTCTTGTGTTTTATCAGATTTTCCCTGTTGATAAAAATAAATCAGTTTGAAGGGAACGCGCATCAGTTAATGAGCGAGGAGCCGGTCAACATTAGCTAGCTTAGTTGCTCAGTCGCTTAAACTTAGGACACAAGTTCTTCAACGTTCATGTTCAAAACAGGGGGAGGGTCAGTCCTGGCAGAGCAACGGGACTCATGGGGACCCGTTTCTCAGTCCGGGTTTCTGCAGAACCTCCTCATTGCGTCGGAGCGGAACAGACCATGTGGCGATGCGGAAAGGCCCAGGCCTGCCGGAACTCCTCACGGAAGTCTCTGCGTTTTCACGAGTTTTTACTGCAATAAACGAGTCATTCCATTATTAAAGCTCCGGTATTATTGCTAATAACGTTAAAATGTCAATGAAACGTATAAAATGCATTATTTTCGTAGCGGAGTCCATTGGTGCATTCTAATGCAGTGATTGTGTGTGGACCCGCAGTGGGCTCGGATCTGCTGCACCAGGTACTTTTAATATTAGGACAAAGTATCGCGCTTTTGCTGGCAAAGTGTTTTCATTTTAGCTCTGTAAATGTATTTCATCCATTATTCCAGATATACAGCAACGTGGTGTCCCACCCAGTGTGCTTGGACTGAAGGGGATTTCTGTCATTTGTACTCAGATTAGCCAAATTTGCTGAAAGAATCAAATCTAAGGCCACGGGATTAGAGGCTGGACCGGCTCTCATTCAGTCACACAGGATGAACACTTCTCTGTGGAGTCAGAACTGCCTGAGGTGTGATTGGTTTACTGTTAGGTGCGTGTGCGTGTGAGGGCAGTGCCCAGTGTGTGTGTGGGCAGTTCTGTTCAGGTTCGTTCAGGTTATTGAGCATGCATCAGGATATTCTGTTCAGGTGTTGATGGGGTTTGCACCTTCTGTCCCCAGCCTCCCCCCTCCTGCTGATCATTGCAGCAAAATGCTGTGAGTGACTCTGACTCCTCTTTCATTGCGTTCATCTTAATCTGTTTCTGTATTTTTCCTGTTTGTTTCAGAATCATGACTGAGCTGCAGGAACGAACCTTCATCGCCATCAAGCCTGACGGCGTGCAGCGAGGCATCATCGGAGAGATCATCAAACGGTTTGAGACGAAGGGCTTCAAGCTCGTGGCCATGAAGATGCTCCATGTGAGTAAATGAGCAGAGTTTCTTTTTCTCTGTCAGGATTTATTTTCAGCCACATGAAGCTGCTGCAGCTAAAGACTCCCAACAAGCTGATTACACTCCTGATCTATTCTTGACCACAGAACAAACGATTAGCTCCAAACATTTGATCTAAAACCTGACGAGACACCACTCAGTGAATCCTGCTTCATTTATGTGAAATACGATAAAACTTGTTGCTGTTGCTCAGACATCAACATTTTATCTGGTTTTACTGAATTCAAGAGATTGCATCATATTTTGGGTAAAGATCAGCCACACATTTATTTTTGTCTGCTTTTATTAATTTGATTTGATGCAGTCGATAAACATTTTTTTTTTTCTGATCAAGCCTAATTTTATTTTATTTTTTAGGAAGGCCCAGTTAGGATATCCACATTGCTCTAGAGCCTGTTTTGTGTAGGATTTCTCCTTCTGCCTGGCTCCTGAGTTAGTGGGGATGCTGTCTGCTCTGTGGTACAGAGTCCTGATGACTCATAACTTGTGCTCCAAAGGGTGATGGGAGTCAAACTGCAAATACTGGTCTGTGTGGGTGGGTTTGCGGTACACCTCAGTTTGCAAATGTCCTCTATCAGAGACTGAGACCTCACAGTCCAAGAAAGCCAACCTGCCATTTTTTACATCTTCTCATGTGAACTTGATGTATTTATCCACAGAGTTGATGTGGTCAGTAAAATGTTGGACTTCCTGAGATTTAATTTTAACCCAGGTGTCGTCAACATACCTGAACCAGTGACTGCCACCAAGTCATTGGTTCATAAATAAGTATAGAATTAAAATGAGTTTTGACAGTGCATTCAATGCAGCTGATTTTCTCCCTCAGGAACACAAGTGAAGGTATTGTAAGGTTATGAGAGCATTTGAACAAATTCTGACTGAAAGCAGAGAAGAAACCCAAACAGGACTCCAGTCAGCCATCAGGTGAAAAGGAGGAACCCAGACCAGTGGTCATTCCATTTGTTGAGGGAGTATCAGAGAAACTGAAACGTTTATTTTCTAAACACAACGTCCCAGTGGCTTTTAAACCCCAAAATACATTAAAGAATGGTTCATCCCAAAGATCCAGTCCCCCGACACAAACGGAGTAATGTTGTGTATGCTGTTCAGTGTCAGGAGGGTGATCAGTCTTACATCGGGGAAACTAAACAGCCACTGGCCAAAAGGATGGACCAGCACAGAAGATCAACATCATCAGGCCAGGACTCTGAGGTCTACACTCATCTCCAGGCCAGCGGTCACTCTTTCAGGGATGAAGATGTTCACATCCTGGACAGAGAGGAACGATGGTTTGAGAGAGGAGTAAAGGAGGCCATCTTTGTGAAAAGAAACCGTCCATCATTAAACAGGGGTGGAGGCCTCCGGGTTCAACTGTCCCCCTCTTACAATGCTGTGATTGCTAGTATCACTCAGCCCTCTGTGAACAGTAAACAGCCATCAGTGTGTTAATGATCCATTGTTAGGCTGATGGTCCTTCTTGAGCATGTGATCAGCTGGTTTTGGTTGTCAGCAGCAAACTGGTTGATCCACTCTGAGAAGGTTCTTTTTAAGAGACTGAGCTGAATACAGCTCCTCAGACTGAGGAAGTCTTCTGGATGAAGGACGAAACATTTCTACATTTATTTTTGTTTTGTTTTGTTTTTTGAATGTCCAGAGAACTCAACTTTTAACATTTTTAGAGATAACCAAAGAGTTTTATCTGGAGGAACACTGCAGAGATTCAGTTGGAATGCAAATGATTCTGTATTTTTGTGTTTGTGTCATGTTCTGTTCTTTAGGCCTCTGAGGAGCTCCTGATGAAGCACTACATTGACCTGAAGGACAAACCTTTCTTCCCTACTCTGGTCAACTACATGAGCTCAGGTCCACTGGTTGCCATGGTGAGAACTCACACACCAGGATAAAAAATAATTGGGGCTAAAGTTTTCATGAGGTCTTAAAGTCATAATTTCTCTACCCACCAAGTTGTACTGAGTTAATGTGCTGCCGTTTCACAAGTTCTCTCCAAATGCTGTACTGAAAATAGACCGATCTAATTAGGTTCAGCTACTTTCAGTTCATCTCCATTAAATTCACTAATGAAGTTGGTTAAAGACGCTTCTATTAATCTGTCAATCATTTTAGTACAGTCGGTTTCAGTATAAATATACTTTACTGTTCATCCGTCATCTTTACCCACATCTTCCTTTCCGGGTTGCGGGGGTCACTTGTGCCCATGTGCAGCATTGACTGAGAGGTGGGGTACACCCTGAAGAGGTCTCCTGTCCATCATGGGGACACTTGGAGACAAACGAGACAACCGTTGACGTTCTCACTCACAGCTGGGACCAGTTGAGCTCTGCTGTTGGTGCAGTGGGATCAGTGTTCAGACCCTCTTACCTTTGGTAGTTACAGGTTTGGAAGGTGAACCTTAGGTCCATTCTGCAGCTTTCCATCAACCCGACCCATCTCCCAGTCTCTGCTGCTGAAATACATCCCACACTATGATGCTGCTACCACCATGCCTCATTGTGGGGACGGTGCCGAGCAGATAATTGGCAGTGTCTGGGTTCCTTCAGGGACAGCTTTGGACTTCAAGCCAAACTGATGATTTCAGTAGACCAGAGAATCTTGTTCCTCTGAGTCCCTCAAGCAGCTTTCAGGTTTCACACTGAGGAGAAGAGAGGAGAGCATCAGCTCGTGTGCTGCTCGTCACTGAGGCACGTCTCTCTGTTTGCTGTGGTGACCAGCTCTTAATCTGGTTGTATCAAACTTCTACTGGAGAATGTTGGAGCTCACTGAGCTCTGAGGAACCTTCAGTGCAGCTGGAAAATACTGCAACCATCCTCAGATCTGTGCCTTGAAACAGTCCTGCTTCTGAGCTCTACAGGCAGATCATCTGACCTTTGACTCCTTTACAGGCGTGTGCCTTTCCTAATTATTGTAAATAAATTTTACGTAATCAGCGAAGCCTGGAGGAGGAGCCCCTCCCCCCATTGTCCCCTCCGCTCCATTCATGCATTCAGATGTGAGCTTCAATGAGATATTGGTATTTAAACATATTTACTGTACAGACAAAGATGTCACGCAAAATATTTTAAAACTTTCATTAAAATGTGTACCAGATTTGACTGCTTTTTTTTTTTTTTTTTTTACTTCTGATCAGCAGAGCCCACGTCATGACTCAGGAGAGGAACATCCAGTAAATGTTCTTTTCTGAACAATGCCTTTAACTCAGCTAAAAAACCAAACAAGTACCAGTAGTCGATCAAAAGTCACTCGTCGCCATGTTCTTGTCCTCTGGTGAACTGAAGTCCTCTTCGAGGCACGAACATCACACATAGTCTCGCAGCTGTTTGTTTCCTCTTCGATAGCTTTGTATCGATCGCTTTTAACTTGAAGCTGCATCATGAGGAATTCTCCGTGCGTTTCCATTATCGCTGCAGATGAACACGGTCTGTGCAAGAAGTGCAGAATACGGTAACGATCTAAAGAAATAAGTGCACGTCGATCTTAAGAGATGGTCCTCGACAGGTTAGACTTCTGCGGGGCTGCACATAACTGTTTTAGGTCGTTTTCACAGCTGATAGTCCAGTAGACTCGGTTCGGGACCAATATTCATGAGCTTTTGTTACATTTGAGCTGGTGCGTTTGCATTCACACTGCACTGTGCAGACGAGTCAACCTGTTGAACCAACCTGTTGAACCAACCTGTTCCTCCGCTCGCCTGTGGGGGCGCTGCACCAAGAACTACTGAAAGAAACGACACAAACCTCTGAAGACACGTCTTCTTCTTCTGTAAATAAAAACAAAAACGGAGTGGCATCAAGTTTTAGCAGTTTTAAGAGTTATATTTAGTCATTTTTCAAAAATGGACTCGGCATGAGCAGAATATGAGACAGAAGACCGTAGAGAATATTGTTTTTCCACACAAGGCAGCTGACGGCTCCATATGAGGTCAGAGAAATGCTGTTTGTTTACCCTGCGGAGCGGGTCCGGTCTGTTTACATTCACACTGTACTCGAACCGCGCTGGAGTTCTCTTCTACCGGACCGAGACCTAGGTTTTAGCCTGGGCCATTCACCTTTTTGTTCCGTGACAGAGTTCGATGGCGCGTTCACACCTCCCTAAACAAACCGGACTTTCTAGGAAAACGAGCTAGAGTTGGATTAAAGCGGACTAAACAGGGCTGGTGTGAATACACCCTAAGTGGGCTCTTCAGGTGAGGACCAGCAGATGGTGTTTGGTACTCGCCCCATATGCAGTTTTGTCTTAAGTGCCACCTTCCTTGCTGTCCTCCTCAGTGTCACTCCCACTATCCTCTACTTCAGCTTTCTCCATGGTAGATGATGCAGATGCTGTAGATGTACCTCCATGTCCTTGGCATTTTTTTTTCTCTTTCATTATTTTGTAAACTCCCCATTTTGATAAATGTAATTGACACCCTTCACAAGTTTGTATTTTTATCTTGCATGGTTCTGTTTTGTGTTAGTTTTATAGAACAAAAACTGATGGGCTGTATATACTGTAGGGAAGAGGTGTTTACCTTCTGGACAAACTGAGGTCATCGATTGGTCAGTTGCTGACACGCCTACTGGATTGATTGACGTGTTGCGTTGCGGATCAGACTCGTGCAAAAAAAAAAAAAAAGAGGCTGCCACCTCCCACAGGTCCTGGGTGGAGGTGGGGCAGTGTAGGTGCAGCGGTAGCATTGTTCTGAGTTTTAATGTTAATAAAAAGTTTAAAAGAAAAAACAGAGCGCCCAGCAGCCCACGCATCAGACCGGCCCACGCATCAGACTGGCCCAGCGGGAAATATCCCGATCCTCCCATTAACTTGACGGTCAAGCACTCAAAGGCGTGTGGTAACACAGGTGATGCTATGCAGTCCTGATTTTTGTTGCACATGCGTACCTGGGTACCAGTTATGTGCACCCCTGGACATCTGATGACAGAGTGGGTGGAGTTATGGGAGGAAATTTTAAACCCTGAGCGAGAGGCTTTGTACATGTGGATACCTGAGGACATTCATTCTGTCACAAAAGCACACCCCCAAGAGGGGTGGGCTCTAGCTATGAGCACCCATCTCTGTCAAAGGAAAATGTTATTCAGTGGCAGGAAGCCTTTCAAAATCAAATGTAAAAATATAAATTGTGGGGGGGAAACCACATTTGCACTCCTACAGATAAGCTGTGGGATACAAGGTGTGAGAATAAAGTAGTGGCTTGTACATGGGCATTGATGTCTAACAGATGTGCTCCCACATGTTCCTGTCGAAGCTTTGATTTGACTGAAACTGACTATAAATTGTATAATTATTAAAACCACAGGGAGCAGCTGCAGAGAGGACTGGAGAAACCCCTTAAACCTGCCCCCACCCTGCTTTTTTGTTGTTGTATGAATGCTAACATGTTAGCTGTTGGAGAGCTGATTTTCTGCCTCGTGTGTTCCAGGTGTGGGAAGGTAAGGGCGTTGTGAAAACAGGCAGAGTGATGCTGGGTGAGACCAATCCTGCAGACTCTAAACCTGGAACCATCAGAGGAGACTTCTGCATCGATGTTGGCAAGTGAGTGGTGTCTGCGTTCTTTTTAGAAATCAGAGGTCCAGTTTGCAGCAGAACTGTGTGATGCGTTTACCTGCATCTGTAGAGGTCAAAGTCTTTAGAGGTTGTTCACGTCGTGATTCTCAAGTGTCCCACTAAACTCAGCAAAATGGTCACCAAAGTTCCTGCTCAATAATCCAGGTAAAAGCCAACCATGTTCATTCAGGTCATCTGGACCGCAAAATGGTCTTTAGCAATAAGATGTATTTGGTCTGTTAGGGGGGAAATTCTGATGTTGCATCCATGTTCACTGGTATCTGCAGAGAGATGGAAAGTTGAGTAAAAAATACACTGGGTGTACTTGATATGAAATATTACAATAATGTTTAATGTTAGTTTGAATTCTATTCTGGATTTGACAGGGAGCCAATGGAGAGAAGCTAAAACTGGAGAAATATGATCTCCTACTAACTCCAGATAAGACTCTGGCAGCAGCATTTTGGATCAACTGAAGACGTTTTAAAGAAGTATTTGGACACCCAGATGGACCAGTTTTTCTGAATCATTTTTAGATGTTTCTAATTTTAGTGGAAGAAGGTGGTTCTAGTAACGTTTTTAATGTGGGGGATTAAAGACATGTCCTTATCAAAAATAACACCAAGATTTTTAACATTAGAGCTGGAGGACAGATTAATGTCATCTAAAGAGGGAGAAAGACTGAAACATTCATTCCTAAGGTGCTCAGGTCCAAAAACCAAAACCTGAGTCTTGTCTGTTCAACAGGAGAAAATTAAGTGTCATCCACGTTTTTATGTCTTTAAGACATGCTTGTAGTCTAGCTGATTTGATTCATTGGTTTTAATGGACAAATATAATTGTCATCAGCATAACAATGAAAATTTATCCCATGCTGTTAAATAACTTTACCTAATGGAAGCATATATAAAGTAAAGAGTATTGGCCCAAGCACTGAGCCATGAGGAACTCCATGACTAACTTTGGTGTATGAAGAAGATTTATTATTTACATTTACAAACTGGACTCTCATCAGATAGATATGATTTAAACCATTTTAGAGCTGTTCTGTAATCCCAACATCATCTTCAAGCCTCTGTAGTAAAATATTGTGATCAACTGTATCAAATGCAGCACTGAGGTCTAACAGGACCAGTAGAGACACAAGTCCATTGTCTGAGGCCGTGAGAATATCATTAGTTACTTTTACTAGTGCTGTTTCTGTGCTATGATGAGCTCTAAACCCTGACTGAAACTCTTCAGATTATTTCTTTGTAGATTAACATCTAACTGACCTGCAACTATTTTCTCTAGAAATTTTGAGATTTAAAAACTTTGAAGCAAAATAATATTTAACTTTGTTCCAATTATCAAGTAGGTTTTGTGCTTCTGGACATGTTTACTGGAGAAAATGGTCAGAAGTGGCTGTTTTTAAAGGTGTTTGAACCCTGGGCCACATGAGAATAAAGACAGCTGCTGAAGATGACCATCCTTGTGTCGGCTGCTTGTGCTTTAAGATCTTTGTGTGTTTTAACCTCCTCCACCGTCTGATATGAGAGTGAAGTCGTTCCAAAGGTCTGGAAGGTGAAGTCTGGAAGATCTTGACATGGAGGGTATTTGGTGGAATCTGTTTGAAGAACTTTAGTAAACTGTAAAGTTTTTTCTGACAGGAAAGCCTTTACAATGTATAGATGCCTCACATGTTCATCGGTTTAGATTCTTTTGAAGTGTGTGTGTGTGTGTTTATATGCTTGGTGTAAAAGGCAATAAATGACAAAGTATGTGATCATGTACAGAATGTGGTCAAGCCTGTTGTGTGTTCTGGAGAGTTCTCACCACCTGCCTCTGGTTTTCTCAGGAACATCATCCATGGCAGCGACTCTGTGGAAAGTGCCAACAAGGAGATTTCCCTGTGGTTCCAACCCGGGGAGCTGGTCACCTACACCAGCTGTGCCTTCAGCTGGCTCTACTGAGCTGCTCTGCAGAATCCTCCCTTTACTCAAACCCTCACCTCTGCGACTTGGGTTTCCTGTAGACACACCCCACATTCCCTCATCTTCATTCTCTGGCCTCTGAAGGGGGTCCACATCCATTCCTGTTCAAACATTCCATACTGTCCTGAAATGTCCACAGCCGACGACGTGAAACTGACATTTTTGATAATCTGCTCCAATAAATGGTCCACAGAACCTGTAATGGTGTAAGTTTTATTTGGAATAAAACAACACGGTCGCAGCACACACCTACAGACTCAAACACCAAGTTTCAGGCGACGGCTCCAGTTAGAGTAGCTGCAGACGCATTAAAATATCAAGTTTGTGTTTTAACCTTTCACTCCGCTGTAAGCAGCACAACTCCAGACAGAAACATCTTTAGTCGTAGTTCTGTCGGGTGGAGCAGGATTTAAAATGACAACATGAAGTTTTACATTCGGCCATAACTTTAAATTCATCCTGGCTTTAGCTACTGATTAGCCGAAATGTTGACATTGTCATCGTCATTATAGGTGAAAGTTTTTAATCTACAGTAAAAATCTCTGACCAAAATGTCTTGAATACATGAAGCACAAGCTCCACAAGGTTGTTGGGAGTCGTTGCACTTGAGGTTTATTTCCAGTGTCAAGTTTTTGTTTTGATAACCATGTTCTGAATGTCCATTAGACTGTTCATATTTAATCAACATTTCATTTGAAGTGGTTTGGACATTATGGGATAGTTCAGTTGCAGATTTTGGTCTCCCAACAGTTTCCAGTTCAAATCTCTCAACTCCCTGAGATTCCAGCCTGCTGTCATTTGAAGAATGACGTGAGGGTGAGCGGACATTGTTCTGCTGTAACGTTCATTGAACTGGTGCTTTGAGTGGAGAAGGCGTCAAATCATGAGTACAACATATTTTCATGTGAAAGAAACACATTACCGGTGCATCAGTCCCTCGATTCTCACGGGGGTTACTCTCCACATACCCACTCCACAAAAACCGCCAAGTATAAACTCTTCGTACTGGCCTGTATACAAAGACTAGAAACCCCACACTTGCAATGTTCTAAACTTTTATACCTACGCCATTTGAACATACATGTGCTGGTCATACAATTCCAATACGCAGAATTTTCTGAGATGGTGAATTTGGGGTTTTCTTTAGTTGTCACTTATAATCAACATTAAAAGAAATAAACATTTGAAATATATCGGTCTGTGTGTAATGAATTAATATACAAGTTTCACTTTTTGAATGGAATTACTGAAATAAGTCAACTTTTTATGATGTTCTAGTTTTATGACCAGCACCTGTAAACATGTACAGTACTAGGGCTGCACCGGTTAGTTTTCTGGCCGATCACCGATTTCTAAAAAGTCTGACCTGCCGATTCAGATTTAGTCTGGTATCAGTTTTGTTTTGTAAGCGACACTGTCAGGTGTCACAATGCACCTTCAGTTTTCCAATATTTTGTTGGGGAAAAAAATACCCTTGAACAATATCCTAGAAACCATACAAACTTGTTTTAACCGGCCATGAGGTAGTGCCTGAATATAAATAAAGTTTATATAATTAAAACTAGAAAAAAAAGGTAAAATCAGATTTTCATGCTGATTTCCCAAAATTAAGGAAATCTGGGCCGATTCATCGGTGCACCTCTATACAGTACTACTAAATTTTATATGGATACTCACCGGCCTTGGTTCTGATCGACACTAGCCTTTGAGCACCAGACGCTTTTGGAGAAAGCTGGACCTTCAGAGAGCCAGCACAAAACCAAACAATGCTCCCGATCGAGTCCAAATAATCCAGAGGGATACGGATGAAAAAAGTCTGGGGGAGCTCTGAAGAAAACACTGGACCTCCACGCTTGAGAGGCCTTATGGGCCGGCAAGCAGCGCACGGACTGACTGATGAGGCTGGAAGTAGTTCTGGTCCAACTCCCGGTTGGTTCCGTACAGCTCTGCATCCACTGAGTGCCGAAGTCACTATGAATAAGGACTGAACTTTTTTGTCAGGTTCAGATCGCATCAAAACCCTCCATTTAATCAGAAGGCAGCGGCCAGAAGCACTGTTGCCTTCTGGGTAATGCAGTTCTTTTGCCTTACGGTGTAGGCTTATTGAAAGAAAACTTCAAAATGGCAGCACCTGTCCAAAGTTTTTTTTTGTGTTAACTTTTTATTCCATACCGTCTCATTCACGTAATATTAAAGTTGACAATCGTTGAAAAAACAAAAGAACGAGTCCGTGAAAGTTGAACTGCAAAGTAGCGAAGGACTACACCGTCATGATTGTTCCAACAAAACTAACACACAAGAGAAAAGGTGATTTCCAACAATCTGAAGTCGAGCTCTTTATTCAGTGTAAAAGTAAAACTTATAAAAGCCACCAAATAAAGCCATGCCCAAACAATTTGCAGCACTTGTAAACACAGAAGCCATTTTGTTACAGCCAGTACGATCATCCAGATATTTGGCTAATATTTACAAAGTCCATCACCGCTTCATCACAGCACAAATATACCGATATACACCATGAAAAAGAAGTACAAACGTTCCACTGCAGTCTAATGTACCTCAATGGCCAGTGTTAATATCTTTAGATTTAAAACTATCAACATAGATTTATTTTAATTAGTATCCAAAATATCTTTTTTAAATTTTTTTTTTTGCATTATAAGCTCTGAACTCGATTATTTTCAGACAACATTAAATTTCCAATATGTTCAATCATTATCAAATATATATATATATATATATAATATATATAAATATATAGCACCACATGGTTTAATATAGTAGGAAGGGCTGTCACATACAAAAGACCCGTGTTAGTATCCAAAGAAAAAGTCCAACATGCTGAGGGAGGCCTTCAGCATCAGGAGAAAACTAAAAGGAAAAACCCACAAATCCAGAGTCCGCCACGCTTGAACTGAAATTCAGAAACAAATAAATGAATTTTTACCTTACAGAAAATAAAAAGCAGAATTTTTACCTTACAGAAAATAAAAAACAGAATTTTTACCTTACAGAAAATAAAAAGCAGAATTTTTACCTTACAGAAAATAAAAAACAGAATTTTTACCTTACAGAATCCATCCACCATTTTGAGAAACAAATATACAAAATGCTCTGAAATCTGTGCAATGGTACACTGAACATCAAGATATGTACAGTTTTATAAAAATGTAAAATAAATGTCAAATTTAAACCAAAACTAGGACAATGAGACAGACTGAAGGACCACGGGGGGGGGGGGACCTCCTGCTCTGGTAACATACTTTTCTTACACGAGGACGAAGCACCGCAGATCAGAGAGAAGGGTTCTTATTTACAAGACTAAAAAATGTTGATTGTGCACTCAGTTTGTATTTTTTAGTAGCAGCAGGTTTTCCAGAGAACAGTCACTTTACGTCCCATTTTCACGACTAAACACGTTAATGCTGTTTGGCTCCGACGTACTGAAACGATTTCTTTTTCTGCCCTCGTTCATTAGTAGACATGAAAAAGCTGATGCGGTCCTTTATTGCTCGTTTAGAAGCTGACTGAGCATCAGGCTGAGATAAATGAGAACAACACCCGAGTGAAACAGCTCGTGAGAGAAAACGTGTTTGTGTTGTGAGCAGAACAAGCTGCGGAGTTCTGTCAACGAGTTCCAAAACTTTCTACTGAAACTTGTTCTGGAAACAGACTCTTGCTTTTTCTATCTTTTACCATTTTAGTAAAATGTTTCATCTAACCAAAACTAACTCCAACCTAAAAGAGCTATAAACTCAAATTTACATTTCAGATGAACCACCTGATCAGTTTTCTACAGAAGAGGACTAAAAGGTCATGATGCAAAAAATAGTTTTTTCCTTCATTCTGAGAAAAAGTCAAAATTCTGAGATTAAAGTTAGAATTAGATCAATGGAATCTGACTAATCTCAGAATTCCATCCATCCATCCATCATCTTTACCTGCTTCTTCCTTTTTGGGTCACAGGGGTCACTGGTGTCCATATACAGCTATCACTGTGTGAGAGGTGGGGGACACCTGGACAGGTCTCCAGTCCATCACAGGGACACAGAGACAAATGAGACAAACAAACATTCACTCTCTCTCTCTCTCTCTCTCACACCTGGGGACAATTTAGAGTTACCAATCAGCCTAACATGCATGTTTTTGATCTGTGGGAGGAACTGGAGTACCTGGAGAAAACATGCATGCACGGAGTGAACATGCCCCCCCCCCCCCCCCCCCCCCGGACGGGATTTGAACCGGGGCAGCCTGCTTGCTGAGAGCAGCAGCTCTAGCAACTGCACCACAGTGCGCTTCCCATTCTCAGAAATAAAGTAAATTTAAAAAATGAACCGTGGCCCTAATCCTCTTCTGTACTTTTCAAATTGTTTTTATTTTTTACATTTTAGGTTTTGAAAGTTCTTCAGTTTCAGCTCAAGCTAACATTATTAGAAAGCCATAATTTCTTCAAATAAAAAATATATATAGTTTAGAAGTTTAAATGTTGGACTTAATTTACATGAAAATTTGAACAAGTTATTTTAGAAAATATTTTAAATACACAATTATTTTGTTCAGACTGGGCAGTTCAGGAGCAACAAAAAAAAACTATTTATTTAGATTTTTTAGAGTTCTCACATCCTCATGTTCCAATAATAAACTTATCTTCCAAAAGAGTTTTCACATATTTACATTTGAACAGCGTTCACTTTCTTTTGTTGTAAATTATGAGTTTATAGTAACACATTTTGTTTGAATGTGAAAATACATGTTAAGATTATGCAAATATGTTTAAAAAACCAACAACATTTGATTGAAGAATAAACTTTTCATATTTATATAAAGTTTTCTTAGTGGGTACATTACTTCTGGAATCTATTACCATTAGACTGAATAATTCCTTAAAACGACTGAAATCATTTCTTCAAATAACCAAACATTTGTGATCAGAGTTTGTAGCATTTAAATGTTTTACAATAAATCTTTAACAGCTTGTTGCGCTGCTCAGAGTGGACTTTACAGCACGCGTTTGTAAAAAGAGGAAAATATCGACGACCCCCCCCCCCCCCCCAAATGAAAGAAAGCTTCCTGAGAAGTGAACGTGGATCTGACAGCTTGGAGGAGAACGTGTGGCTCTTCTGAACTCGCTGACAAGTTTCACTGTTTCCTCCAGACGCAGCGCGCTGCTTCACTAAATATACACACGCAGTATTCACAGTT